GGCAGACGGATGCAGGATGCCACCCGCCTGCCCCAAAGGCTCCCAGCAGACCCTTCCTAACAGGCCTGTCATCAATGCCCAGCGCTACCCCCAGGGCAGGCCTCCCATCACACCGGGGACAGGGCCCCGGCCCACGACCCACTGCCGGGTCTCCTTTCCACACAGACACAGGGTGGGCTTCACGCTGTGGCCAGCCCTGGGGACACAGGTGGGGGCGGCGGCCCCTCCCAGGCTGGAGGCTCTGTGTAGATAATCATGCTATTTACATAGGATGTTGGTTAATTCCCTTCATCACAGGCTCCCGGGCTATAATTTCTTCTGCGCGTGATGTATTCCCCGTGGCATGCTTCGCCCAGACCAAGCCCCGGGAGCCTTTACTGCCGCCGTGGGCCCATGCCCGTTATCAGGCCCACACACACAGCCCTCTCCACCCGCCATCCAGAGGTCACTTCTAATGACTAATCGATCTCATTAGCTTTCCTAATTAAAAACTTTACTGCCGCAATGGAAGACAAACTACAAAAAAGCTGCTGGCGTCATATCTGCCGGGCCGCGAGCCCATCCATCAGCGACGCGCGCCCCTGCGCTGCGCTGGGCCCTCGGCCCCCCTCACCCGCACGCAGCCGGAGCCAGCCCAGGGCACCCCTGAGAGCGCAGCTGCGCCCTGCCTCCCACGCCCCAGGCACTGCCGGGGAGCCTGGCCCGGCTTCCCCTCCCCCTCATTCCAGATGGCGGAGCCGCTCGGGGCGTTCAGACTTCACGGAACTTCAGAGGGAGAGGAAGACGCGCACGGGATGGCTCCAGGCCCACAATGCTCCATCAGCGAGATGAGACCAGAGACGCTCGGTGCAAGCAGCAGCCTGCGGGGTGAGGCAGGGTCCTGGGGCCAGGTGAGCGAGTACCCCGCTGGCACTGCTCGGAGGCACCACCCCACCGGACTCCTGCCTCACTGCCAGGCCTCTTCCTCGGCACATGCCCGCCACACTGAGAGCTCAGGTGGCCATGCCCCTGTCACCAGATGCAGGAGGCTACCGGCGACGGGGGGATTAGAACAGCAGTGCTGGGCAGGACCACAGAAGTGCCCCTGCAGGAGTGACTGGGCCCGGCTTGGAGGCAGCAGGAAGAGCTAGGGTTCCAGGCAGAGGGACTGCAGCAGTGGAAGGGGACAGAGGGAATGCACGGGCACACACGCGGGACTGCAGAAGCAAGGGGACAGAGGGAATGCACGGGCACACACGGGGGACTGCAGAAGCAAGGGGACAGAGGGAATGCACGGGCACACACGGGGGACTGCAGAAGCAAGCGGACAGAGGGAATGCACAGGCACACACGCGGGACTGCAGAAGCAAGCGGACAGAGGGAATGCACGGGCACACACGGGGACTGCAGCAGCGGAAGGGGACAGAGGGAATGCACGGGCACACACAGGACTACAGCAGCGGAAGGGGACAGAGGGAATGCTCGGGCACACGCGGGACTGCAGCAGCGGAAGGGGACAGAGGGAATGCACGGGCACACACAGGACTACAGCAGCGGAAGGGGACAGAGGGAATGCTCGGGCACACGCGGGACTGCAGCAGCGGAAGGGGACAGAGGGAATGCACGGGCACACACAGGACTGCAGCAGCGGAAGGGGACAGAGGGAATGCACGGGCACACACGGGGACTGCAGCAGCGGAAGGGGACAGAGGGAATGCACGGGCACACACGCGGGACTACAGAAGCAAGGGACAGAGGGAATGCACGGGCACACACGGGGACTGCAGAAGCAAGGGGAGTGCTTCCGAAGCAGGAAGCGCTCCAGGTGAAGGCGTCCTGGTTTCTCCTCGGGGAGCAGGGGCAGCGAGCGGGGAGCAGGGGCAGTGAGTGGGGAGCAGGGGCAGCGAGCGGGGAGCTGGGGCCTGACTGGTGTTGCACGCTCAGCTCATCAGGAAGGCAGCAAGCACCTGCCATGCCCAGGACCCAGCTGAAGGCCCCTCCTGTGACAGCACTGTCCTGTCCCTCCCAATGTGGGCCAGGAGAGCACGGAGGGGCAAAGGCACGAGAGCTGGGGGTAGGTCTGGGAGGACCCCGGCCCAGGCGGGCAGGGAGCAGGCAGGAGCAAGGGGGCGCCCCAGCTCCGCGGCTGCGAGGCTGACAGTTGGCAGGTGGGGGTGAGGTGGAGGCCTCCCCACCAGGACCCCGCCTGGGACCCTGCAGCCATCAGGGCTCCTCCCCAGAGCAGGCGCGTGGCAGCCAGTCTCTGCCCCAGCAACTGCTGAACTGCACTCGGAGAAACGGCCGCAGAGATTGAAACAGAAGGTGCGGCACCCATCTCAGAGAGCCCGTGCCCCACATCCACACGTGACCCGTGTCTAAGCTGCCTGCCAGCGGCCCCACAGCTGGGCAGGGGCGGGGCAGGCAACGTGCTGCCCAAGCCAGGGGCTCCGCCCACACAGCAGAGACCCCAGCATCACGACGCCAGGGTAGAGGCCATGGCTCCTCCACGGTGGCCCCAAACTCAGCTCAGCCCCTGACCGCACAGCGAGGCCCTGGTTAAGAGTCAGCCCCATCTGAGCTGACCTGTGCCCCCACCACCCTGGGAGCTGGGCTGTCACCCCCAGTTCTGGCTGTGCACCAGACCGTGGAGGCAGCAAGGCCGGGGCAGACTCTAGGGGTGACATGTTCTCCACAGGACAGGCCCCCGGGTCGCGTGTCCTCTGGAGGCAGGCCAGTGGGATGGGCTCTGGCCTCCCACACAGACAAGGGTCCGTCCAGGCCAGCTGCCCATCCCTCTCCGTACCCGGCTCAGGTGGGCTTCTCCCGTCTGCAGCCCCCAGCTGCACCTGCCCCTCTGTGTCTGCCTGTGGCTGCACTACACAGCAGGGCCACTCATGTCCAGACACACACGTGTACGCTCACACACACTGCACCCGCACACGGTCACCTCCTGCCCCCCAGCTCAGGGCCACCCCTCCACCCCACACCCCTGCCCCCCCAGCTCAGGGCCACCCCCTCCACCCCACACCCCTGCCCCCCAGCTCAGGGCCACCCCCTCCACCCCACACCCCTGCCCCCCAGCTCAGGGCCACCCCTCCACCCCACACCCCTGCCCCCCCAGCTCAGGGCCACCCCCTCCACCCCACACTCCTGCCCCCAGCTCAGGGCCACCCCTCCACCCCACACCCCTGCCCCCCCAGCTCAGGGCCACCCCTCCACCCCACACTCCTGCCCCCAGCTCAGGGCCACCCCCTCCTCCCCACACTCCTGCCCCCCAGCTCAGGGCCACCCCCTCCACCCCACACTCCTGCCCCCAGCTCAGGGCCACCCCCTTTACCCCACACTCCTGCCCCCCAGCTCAGGGCCACCCCCTCCACCCCACACCCCTGCCCCCTCAGGTCAGCCAGGCTCCGAGACCAGGCACCTGCTCCCCTGGCAGAGCTCAGGGCCAGCCCACAGGACAGCCGCGCGATGGGACATCCCTGAAGCCCCTGGGCTCCTGTGTGCAGCAGTAGCAGCCCGGCCTCTGCCCCTCAGGGACGTAGCGCCACCCCTCTGGGCAGCCGCAGCATCTCTCCCCGTGTGGGCCAGTCCGGAGGTCCGGGAGGCTAGGGGAGACACGATGTGCAGGCCTCTGGCCCCAGTCCCGCCGACCCTGCGCCCTGGGGCACCGCTCTGCTCTGCCTGACTCAGCAGTCCCACAGCACTCCTGGGGCAGACCCCGAGAACAGGAGGCAGCGCGTGCCTGAGCCGCACCTGCCCACCGTGTGGGGTGTTCATCACGGCCGTCAGGCGGGTCAGCAGCAGGGACCCTGATTAGCAGTGATGAGCACCGAGGCCCAGGCTGCTCATGCGTGACCCCGACTCCCCGCAGGCGGCACAGCCGGCTGAGGGGCCTGCAGCTGTGACGGAGTAATCAAAGCAGACGCCTGGGGAAGCGCAGCCTCCCTGCCCACGCCTCCCAGGCCCTTCCGCTGTGCAGAGGAGAGGATCCACGATGGGCTGCCTCGCCGGGCTCTGGCAGCCTGCTGTCCCCTCGTGCCCCTGACACAAGACCCACGCGCCAGTCCCATGACAGACTGAAGGGCACATCAGCCCCTAGGGCAAGAATCAGAAGGCGACCGACGCCTAGGCAGGAGGGCAGGGCCCCAGATGACCAGGGGGACAGTCTCTCAGAAAGCACAGAGCAGGGCTCAAGGCCCACAGTCCCAGCCGGGAAATAAGGCTGGAGGCACTGCACAGCTGTCCCCCGAGATGTAGACACACGCCTGCCCGCCTCCACCGGTGCCGGCCCCACACTCTGCCTGTACCTCTCCACCTGTGCCTGCCCCACACTCTGCCTGCCCGCTTCCACCTGTGCCTGCCCCACACTCTGCCTGTACCTCTCCACCTGTGCCTGCCCCACACTCCGCCTGTACCTCTCCACCTGTGCCTGCCCCACACTCTGCCTGCCCGCTTCCACCTGTGCCTGCCCCACACTCTGCCTGTACCTCTCCACCTGTGCCGGCCCCACACTCTGCCTGTACCTCTCCACCTGTGCCTGCCCCCACACTCTGCCTGTACCTCTCCACCTGTGCCTGCCCCACACTCTGCCTGTACCTCTCCACCTGTGCCTGCCCCACACTCTGCCTGTACCTCTCCACCTGTGCCTGCCCCACACTCCGCTGCTGCCCACCTGTGCCTGCCCCACACTCTGCCTGCCCGCTTCCACCTGTGCCGGCCCCACACTCTGCCTGTACCTCTCCACCTGTGCCTGCCCCACACTCTGCCTGTACCTCTCCACCGGTGCCTGCCCCACACTCTGCCTGTACCTCTCCACCTGTGCCTGCCCCACACTCTGCCTGTACCTCTCCACCTGTGCCTGCCCCACACTCCGCCTGTACCTCTCCACCTGTGCCTGCCCCACACTCCGCCTGTACCTCTCCACCTGTGCCTGCCCCACACTCCGCCTGTACCTCTCCACCTGTGCCTGCCCCACACTCCGCCTGTACCTCTCCACCTGTGCCTGCCCCACACTCCGCCTGTACCTCTCCACCTGTGCCTGCCCCACACTCCGCCTGTACCTCTCCACCTGTGCCTGCCCCACACTCTGCCTGTACCTCTCCACCTGTGCCTGCCCCACACTCTGCCTGTACCTCTCCACCTGTGCCTGCCCCACACTCCGCCTGTACCTCTCCACCTGTGCCTGCCCCACACTCCGCCTGTACCTCTCCACCTGTGCCTGCCCACTCTGCCTGTACCTCTCCACCTGTGCCTGCCCTGCCACTCTGCCTGTACCTCTCCACCTGTGCCTGCCCTGCCACTCTGCCTGTACCTCTCCACCTGTGCCTGCCCCACACTCCGCCTGTACCTCTCCACCTGTGCCTGCCCCACACTCTGCCTGTACCTCTCCACCTGTGCCTGCCCCACACTCTGCCTGTACCTCTCCACCTGTGCCTGCCCCACACTCTGCCTGTACCTCTCCACCTGTGCCTGCCCCACACTCCGCCTGTACCTCTCCACCTGTGCCGGCCCCACACTCTGCCTGTACCTCTCCACCTGTGCCTGCCCCACAGTCCGCCTGTACCTCTCCACCTGTGCCTGCCCCACACTCTGCCTGTACCTCTCCACCTGTGCCTGCCCCACACTCTGCCTGTACCTCTCCACCTGTGCCTGCCCCACACTCTGCCTGTACCTCTCCACCTGTGCCTGCCCCACACTCCGCCTGTACCTCTCCACCTGTGCCTGCCCCACACTCTGCCTGTACCTCTCCACCTGTGCCGGCCCCACACTCTGCCTGTACCTCTCCACCTGTGCCTGCCCCACAGTCCGCCTGTACCTCTCCATCTGTGCCTGCCCCACACTCTGCCTGTACCTCTCCACCTGTGCCGGCCCCACACTCTGCCTGTACCTCTCCACCTGTGCCTGCCCCGCCACTCCGCCTGTACCTCTCCACCTGTGCCTGCCCCACACTCTGCCTGTACCTCTCCACCTGTGCCTGCCCCACACTCTGCCTGTACCTCTCCACCTGTGCCGGCCCCACACTCCGCCTGTACCTCTCCACCTGTGCCTGCCCCACACTCTGCCTGTACCTCTCCACCTGTGCCTGCCCCGCCACTCTGCCTGTACCTCTCCACCTGTGCCTGCCCCACACTCTGCCTGTACCTCTCCACCTGTGCCTGCCCCACACTCTGCCTGTACCTCTCCACCTGTGCCGGCCCCACACTCTGCCTGTACCTCTCCACCTGTGCCTGCCCCGCCACTCTGCCTGTACCTCTCCACCTGTGCCGGCCCCACACTCTGCCTGTACCTCTCCACCTGTGCCTGCCCCACACTCCGCCTGTACCTCTCCACCTGTGCCTGCTCCACACTCCGCCTGTACCTCTCCACCTGTGCCGGCCCCACACTCCGCCTGTACCTCTCCACCTGTGCCTGCCCTGCCACTCCGCCTGTACCTCTCCACCTGTGCCTGCCCCACAGTCCGCCTGTACCTCTCCACCTGTGCCTGCCCCACACTCTGCCTGCCCGCTTCCACCTGTGCCGGCCCCACACTCTGCCTGTACCTCTCCACCTGTGCCTGCCCCACACTCTGCCTGTACCTCTCCACCTGTGCCTGCCCCACACTCTGCCTGTACCTCTCCACCTGTGCCGGCCCCACACTCCGCCTGTACCTCTCCACCTGTGCCTGCCCCGCCACTCTGCCTGTACCTCTCCACCTGTGCCTGCTCCACACTCCGCCTGTACCTCTCCACCTGTGCCGGCCCCACACTCCGCCTGTACCTCTCCACCTGTGCCTGCCCCGCCACTCTGCCTGTACCTCTCCACCTGTGCCTGCCCACAGTCCGCCTGTACCTCTCCACCTGTGCCTGCCCCGCCACTCTGCCTGTACCTCTCCACCTGTGCCTGCACCCCCACCTGTAATCGCTACTCCTGTGCCTGCCCACCGTTCTGTGAGTGGGCCCAACTGTTACCGCGCTTGCACACAGCCGCACTGCCCACCTGGAGCCAGCTCCAGGACCTCCTCACACTCGATCCTCCAGCACCTGCCACCTGGCAGAGTCCAGCCCGTGCCCTGCAGGTGCAGGGCACACGGAGCTGCATTACTGGCACAAAGCCCCCACCCGCCTGCCGCCTGCCTTCACCTGTAAGGGGCTGCTCTGGGGCCTGCAGGGACGCGTCTGCCTTTCAAAGAAGCCTCAATGGCAGCTGAGGCAGGGGGCGGCTGCGGAGCGCCCTGCCCCTACGCTGGCGCAGCAGGAGCTGCCAGGCCCAGTTCTAACAAGCTTCAGATGTGGGATGACTGGAATCACAAGCATGAATTTTTATGAGCCTAATAAATCACTCCTCTTTTCCTGCACTTGATGATTCCCAGCAAGGTGTGGTCCCCGCGCCTGCCTTGAACCTGCACCCTGAGGCCACCAGGGGCCACTCGTGGCCGGCCCGGCCAACAGGCACCTCAGCGGTGGCGGGGCGCCACTCAGCAAGGCGGAGCACAGATGGCCAGGCCACAGGCCTGGGAAGGCCCCGCCAGGATACCTCGTCAGCACAACTCACCTGAACCCTCATGAGCGTCTCGGGAAACCCGCCGTCCTGCACAGGGTGGCTGCAGGCATGCTGGCCGCTGGGCGTGACTGCACCCTGGGAGGGGCCCAGCCAGGCCCGTCCTGGGGGCCTCGCAGCACTTCCAGCTGCGTGCGGGGTGGGCCGACCCCCTGCAGACGGTGCCCAGCACCATCAGAAACAGGATCCGCACCCCGACAGCCACTCACGGATTATCAGATCACAGCGGCAGTGCAGACAGGGCCGTAAGTCACCCTAAGCAGCCGTGTGCACCGCCGTCTGAGGCGTCCAGGCAGCTCAGAGATGACAAACGGCGCTGTCAGCCGCCAGGCCCCCGCACGGGATCCGTGTGCTCTGCTGCTCCGCGCTACCTAGTGTTTAATGACAACAGTGAGGCGGCCGCCGCCTTGGACTGTCAGAGCCCTATTAGGAGGAAGATTGAGACCCTGCTCTTCTTAAAGTCACTCAAGCAACGCCAGTTGCTAGTTCCTGTAATTACCGCACACGAGCATCGATCGCACAGCGACACCGACCCCCGCGGGGGACGACGGGTGCAGTTTGCTCAGTGACAGTCGCCACCGGCTGGGGGTGGGTCTTCCTTCCCCTCTCACGACTGCTCTGCCTCCAAGCAGGGAGGGAGAGAAGTCAGCCCGCACACCCCAGCCACGCGGAAGTACGGGCCTACAGGGGACAGGACGGTGGGCGGTGAGGGGCCTGCCCTCAGAAGGGGAGCACGGGCCTCAGGGGCAGTGGGTGTGGGAGGACAGCGCTCGGCCGCCTCACCCCCTCCCAGCGCCCCTTCAAAGAGGAGGGTAGTCCCCCAAGCTCACCCCACCCCCAGCTCAAGGTCACAGGCAGTCCCTGGCCCCTGCACCCCAAGGCTGGCATTCCCTGTCCTCTCCAGCCTCAGACGCCAAGCAGCACCTGAGACAGAGGCACTGTGATCACCCCGCTTCCCAGCTCTGGCCTGCAGGGCCACACCCCGTCTCCTGCCCCCCCCCCCCACCGCAGCCTCTGTCCTAAAACCTCAGTCGAGCCCTTGGGGGAGGACAGGGCCCCCCAGCACTCCACAGCAAGGTCTCGGCCCACCTGACCACACACCCTCACCCTCAGCTCCCTGCTCCCCTCAGGGACACACTCCTAACTTGTGTCCCCAGGCCTGGCCACCCCCTTGCCCGACCTGAACACCGGTGGGCATGAGCCAGCCAGGCCCCCAACACTGGCAGGCAGGACAACCTCAAAAACAGGGCCTGCCAGGGTCGGCACAGGCAGGGCTCCCGGGCCCTCCCTCCTGGGTCTCAGAAAGTGGCCGTTCCGGGCAGCAGGCAGCGCCGCGCGGAGTCCAGGCTGCACCTCTGGTGGGAACCCAGGAACCTGAACTGCTTGAGCCGCCAGGGGGTTCCACTGGGAAGCCCAACTAACCACAGCGTACCCCAGGGAGGCGCAGATCTGACCAGTACCCCGCAGCAGGCCCACAGAGCTCCCCCGCCCCAGCTGAGGCTGTGAGCTAATCCTGACTTTCACATGTCGGTCCCCAGAGGACATGGCCTGGGGCAGGAGCTTCCTGCTCACTGAGCCCGGCTGCCCTCGAGCCCCTGCACGCTTGCCCATCACAGGCACGGCGGGGGCCCTGCAGGGGCCTGGAAGTCACCTCATCCCAGACCCCGCGTGCCAGTCTCCCTCCAGGCCTCCCCAGCTGTGCTGGCAGCCCGAGGGGCGGAGCTGCAGAGCAGTGAGCAGGCCACGGGGTGGGGGGAGTCCCCAGAGCTGCCACTGGGTCCCTAGGGCAACCCAGTGGGGTCAGGCCAGAAGCGACTCAGCCGGAGCTGTGGACAGACTAGAGAAGGGCCCACATGGGCTGGGGATGGGGGTGTGGAGCCACACGTCAGGAACATTCTAGCCCCCGCTCCCAGGAGGCACTACCGTGCTTGCTGTGGCGTGTACACATGTGCGAGGAAAGAAGCAAGCAGACGGCACAGAGACCCCAGGCACAGGGCCAGGAATCCCCCGGCTACACACTGAGTCCCCAGACCCGACATGGAAAGCCACCCGCAACCAGCAACACCTGCCTCACGTCCCCCCAGTAACAGTGAGCCAAGAGTCCTGCGGGGCCACCGCAGCACCCAGAGGGGGAGGGGGAGAGCAGCGGGGTTCTCCCCTGTGAAGAGCTGGCCGGGGAGGGGAGAGGTGCGAGCAGGCAGGGCCTGGCCACAATACACTCAGCTGCCCTTCCCAGCCCAGAGGCAGCAGGCGAGCGCGAATGTGCTCACTGCGGCACCAAATCATGCCTCCTAACGACCAGCTGTGGCTGCGGCCGCCGTTTCTTGACAGGGAAGCCGAGGCAGAGAGAGGTGTGGCCAGAGGTCACAAGGCTCCTGAGTGCACCAACACCAGGCTCGGAGGGACAGAGCTCACCTTCTGCCCAGCGGGAGCCCCTGCGGCCCCTGGGACCAGCAACAGCACCTAGGGTTCTGGCCCCGGCTCCATGTCCACCCTCCCAGGAGCTCCCAGTGGGCCAAGTGAGGGACTGGCCAAGGGCAGGGAGCTCAGGCTGTGGCAGCACCATACGAGCCCCCTTCCTGCTTCATCACTGGGCCCAGGAATGAGCCACACACACACCCCCAGCACCACCCTCCTGGGGAAGCAGGCAGGCCGCATGCCCCTGCAGGTGGTGGGTCACTGCCTGGCACCCTCCTGCACCTGCTGCCGCCACCCTCACGCTGGCTCTGAGCGGTCCAGAACGCCTCCCCAGGAGGGCACAGGTGCAGCACAGGCAAGGGTGCTCTCACGGCTGCTGCAAGACGGGAGCTGCCTCGGGGGCTTCTCCAGCAGAGGCCTCTGCAGGGGTGAGGCGGGAGAGGGTTGCCTGGCCCGGCCTTCCCTCAGGATCTACACTTATCCCAGAACTGATCAAGTCTCTGCAAGTCTCTGCAGGCATCAGCACCGCCGCTGGAGGGGCCACCCTTAGGCCATGCGGGCCATGCTGAGCTCATGAAACCAGCACCCACAGACCGCACGGACTCGCAGCTGAGGCGCCGGTTAGCAAGCGCACACCGCACACCAGTGCCCGGGTTCACAGCCAGCTCTGGCTCCCAGGAGGCGGCAGCGAGGACTCCTGTCGCTGAGTCCCCGCCCCATGTGGGAGATCGGGATGGTGCTCCCAGCTTCAGCCCCAGATGTCATGGCATCCGGGACAAGGGCTTGCTGGCTGGCTTGCTTACTCTGCCTTTCAAAGGAGTACTTAAAGAAAAATGGAATCCACCATTCTCTGGTTTTGGCAAGATCCCAGTTCATATCGTTCCGCAGCCCCCAATCTAGGCCACCACATGCACCAAAGGCCTCAGAAGTGCTGGCAGAGACCCTGGAGCCGGAGTCCAGGGCTCAGGGCAGGGCTGTCCCTGGGGCTGTCTCTCAGCTGTTGTCCTGTCCAGAGGTGGACCACTGCGGGCCCTACCACCCACCTGACACAACCATCCACGGCCGCTCTGGGTGCAGGCAGACGGACATGAAGGCAACCTAGGGAAGAACCCTGAGCACAGGG